GGGAGTAACATGGGATCAAGATTTCGTACATTGGCTGACAACTTCCTCTTTCCTTTTAAGTAGAGACTGTAATGGAAGTCCGAGTGGATGTGGATAATGAGAGATCCCCTCAGGAAAAGAAGTTGAAGAGAAGGAGATCACTTCAGAAATGGAAGAGCTTTCCAAACCGAGCAAATTCGTTTAAAGGAGGGTCGAGGAGTAAGAGGTGGTCCAAGGATAATGATGCCGACATTCTGCAATTAAATGGACATCCTCTGCCAAAGCTAGCCGAGGAGGAAGATGCTGTCGGCATCATTACAATGGAAGATGTTATTGAAGAACTTCTACAGGTAACGAAACCAAACTCATATTTTTTTTGTTTTCTTCTATTTGAATTCATTTCTCATTTATTTGTGAATGTGGCTGTAGGAAGAGATATTCGACGAGACGGATCATCATTTTGAAGACTCATGACAGCAACAACTTAAATTGCTCTCAACATTAGGAGGCAGAACTTAGAAAATCCAATATCTACGCACAAGTTTTGCTGTGAAAAGGTCATAAATATATATGTAACGCTGCTTCTTATGTATAGTTACTCCCTTGATCTACAATTGTTCGGACAGTAGGAACAAATATCTCCCTAGCATGATCTGGTAGTATATGTTTATATGTACAGCATAGTCGTCAAAGCAGAGGCTCTCTGCATCTTGGACTAAAGAAACACCAGAACCATCAAAAGTGTGAAGTAAGACCCTTCAATTCTAGCAAATGTTTATCAAAAATAGGCAATGTCGTAGTTTACAATCACAGCACGAAGAGCAAAAAGGAATCGGAAACAAACAAAAAAGGTCTACTAGATCACAGAAACCGTAGGAAAAGTTTGGAAAATTTCAAGTCCCTGGACAAACCATTGAGCATCCTTGAGATTCATTTTCGAATGACGAGGGAACCGTTTCAAGGTTTTGGTTGCAAGAAACAAAATTCATTAACTCGGTTTGATCACTGGTTTAGCATTGAACCAATTGTGACTCATCAAGTAGATGGAGTTTGGTTCGATACCGAGATAGCAGGCACGGTGATACCCTAGTCAAGAAGCAGTGCCGTGCTTTATCTGTTAAGCAATATTCTGTACACTTTGGTATTCAGAGACAGAGGTTTGATACATTTCAGAAACTTGGTATCTTCATAATCAAAAGCATATCTTCTTCTAAAGATATTCAAAGACGAATCAATCTTCCTCTCTTTACGCTTCTACATCTTGAGAAAACAACAATGGAGGATTTGGACTTTCCGGTAAATAAAAGTACATACATAGTTTAATTTGGATTGTATAATTAAGTGTATTAATCCAGTTCATCTTCCGATTTGCAGATTTTTGAGCAATGGCCATATTCGTGTTCGTTTCTACAGATTTGCATACTGAAGATGAATCTACAATGTTGTGAAGACTTTCCTCGGATCAAAAAGCTTTTGCGTAAAGTATAATCAATTATATAAGTGTATAGTTAATTATAATGTGAATGGATAGTCATAAATATAATCAACTATAACAATACTAACCATTTAATGTATAGTTAGCTATTTTATTTTGAGAATAAGCTAAGGTATAATCGTAAATTCATAAAATAAAAATGTTACTAAATTTCAGATTATGATATGTTAGATAGAAGCCCTCCTCCACGCGAGATCCGCCGGAATATGTCGATTCAGAGTACTTTCGAACTCACAACAACTACTAAACCTAGTCAATTCTAACTCTCAACAGATTGAGATCTTCAGGATCCTAAATGACATCTTCGATCTCTCTCTAGAACTCTTTGAAAAAGCCTTTGATTATATTCAAAGAGCAAACAATCAAGAGGCTGATTATCTTGCAAAATCAACCTTAACCTATCTCTGAACAATCGAGTATGTCCGGTTTACACCCGGTTTAAGTGAATGAAATCTTATCTTTTGATCCAAAAAAAAAAGTTATGTTAGATATTTAATTTTATACTCAATTCCTATTATAGTGTAATTTACAAAAAAAAAAATTATTTATATGATATTATTAGGAATAAAATAATATCTTTCGCATCGGACAAATCACATTTAGCCACGTAGCATGGTGGAATTCCCAACATCTTGGGTGGAGCTTATCGTCTATACAATGGTAGAAGATACCCAGACCCAACAAACCCCCTGTAGTAGCGAAGAAGTCCACTACGGAGTATCACCACCCAGGAAAGGAGCATGTGGCCCGAGTTCACTTATCAAGGTCTCCGGCAAAGTAGAGAAAATTCATTTATTGCGCCTAAATTCATATGTGTTAAGGTAAAAACATGTGACAAATGCCTTGAAGCATAACAAATTGATTACGAGGAGCACTCCGTCGCTCGATTCAGCGTGACAGACGCCATCAATAGTGCGAGGAGTCAGACGCAACATATTAGAACTGAACAGTCAGACAAGTGGCCAGGAAAGTTAGATAAAGCAAGGAAAAAGCACTCAAATACCCAGACTCAGACCAAATTTGGAATGTAGTATCGGGTATATGAATTTGGTCAAGTAAAACTTTATAAATACTTCTCCATTCACTCCATCGAGGAAGATCTTGGTCTTTTTTTTTTTTTTTTACTAATAGTCGATATTAAGAGCTATTCTCTAAGAGCTAAAGACATATAGTCTTGAAACCCTCTTTCCATCTATTTAGGGCCAGTCTCACGAATTTTTCAATTTCTCTTCTCCGGCTTGGACCAGTCTTTGGTCGGAGCTTTTCTTGATCATTCTCTTTATCTCTCTCTCTCACCAGTAAATTTCTTATTTAGAGTTTTGATACTCCGTAGATGACTCTCTTCCGGCCCGTAGTCACCATTTACATTCTCTTGTTTTGCGACTCTCCCTTCTCTGACTCTATTCAACTCACGTGGTTTTACTTTCTCTTTTGTCTTTCTTTGTCCTTCTTTCTGACTTGAACATCCAAGAGTCGTCGGAATCGAGATGTATATTTTTCATCTTGAATATTTTTTCTCCTTTTAAATCTTGAATATTTTTTCTCCTTTTTCCTGTAACTATTTTTTAATTAATTTTTAGATTTATAATAAGAGAAATGACTTTTCAAATTTCTCTAATAATTCAATTTGTTAAACAAACATATCAAAGTTTAAAAATGAAAATTGTAAAAGTTATATAAAAATATGATATGGTATATATATTGACGTAAACTAAAACAAATCATTTTTAATATCATTTTTCAATGATTTTTCAATTTTTTCAATGACACGTAGATAATAATGTAGATGCATGAAAAGAAAAAGAAAAAACTGTTTATTTGTATATCTATACTTATAAATACGAAGTAGCAAATCCTATTTGGCGGCTCTACGGTGAGTTTAAAACTTGATCTACCGAAAATACCCTTGATGAATCATATAATTACAATCGTATGCCATCGAGTTGTTATTAGGCCAAAATAATTAGTATAGACCTATAACTTTTTCATGGCCCATAACAATATATAGGTCGGCCATTAACCATATAACATCTATAAATATATAATACTCTACTTGGGCTTTAGCCTCAAGCATTCATAATCAGCCGCATCTATTTTTCTTCACACAAAACCATAATCTCATATTTCTCCACTTCCAAAACCATGGCGATGATCATTAGATGTTTGTATATCATATGTTTTTCTTTCACCATCTCCTCTTCTTTTGCAGAGCTCATTAGAGGTTAATGTCGGATGTAAAGCTTACTCGGAAAGAAACCGTTTCCAAGCCATTGACACTTTTTTCTGTAAGTTTCTTTATTTGTTGTTAGGGTTTAAATTCGGCGTTCTTTTATCGATGGCACTTGACAAAAAGCTTGAAACTTTTGCAGAGCTCGTGATCCATATGTTTTATCGATAGGTCAGAGAGCTTTATCACCAAATCTTGGTGGCGGAAAAGAGAAAAAATATATCCCAAGAAGTTTTTGTTGTTTTTCTCTATATATCTTTCTATCTTCATAATCTCAATCCTTCATTTATTGTTCGTGATAATTTGAAAGTTTAATCGATCTTGTATGTGTTTTTTTTTTTAATTCGTGAATGAAAACAGCGCTTGTGGCATGATGAAGTGGCTTTAAAGTGATGATGTATTCGTAGGTGATTTTTTCTTAATTTGATTTGTCTACGTTTTGGTTTAATTAATCCTTTCCAAGATTAGATGATGTATTTTCAAGGACGAAAATACATAATATGCTTATGTGTCTTGAATGGGTTTTGGATTATGCATTACTTTTTGGTTTTTATGTAGATTCCTTGTAATACCAAAGTCATCATCTAGAGTTAAGGACT